TCCACAGAGTATGGTGATAACCATCTGTGGTCCCGCACCTCGCTATCGCTCCCAAGTTCGGTCGCGTGTTCTATTCAGATTTCTCCCTCAACAATTAGCCCTCTTTCAGGTTCGGGTTATCCTGTCAAGGACGGCTGGGTCCGAAAGCGTTGAAGTGGACCGGAGCGTGTGCGGGTAGCGTTATGAGACGCGTGAAGAACAAATCTTTTCGAATTTAGACATGGAGTCTAGGCTAGTCAAGAGGTGCGATCGCAAAACGTCCGTTTATAAGGCCATATTGATGAGGGGACAATTGTCAATTATCATCTTGCTTGGCTTTTGCATGATTGATATTGGTTGACCTGTAAGTAGCAATGTACGTGCTGACCCGTCCTGCCAAGTCGTGATTCTTATCCCCTTTCTTGTGAAACATAATTGCATTTCTTTGATTCCATAATCCCTATAGAAACACCATCAACTCCTCAAAATCTTCCCAATTTAATAAATCTCGCTCGTCTTTGATGATATGTAGCATAGAGGTTTAAGGATAGGCGACGGACACGTGATGAAATTTAGAGGTAAGCCACTTATGGTTAATTTGCAATGCCAAAATAAGTGGTGAGAGTCTTCTCCTTTTTTTCTAAAAAAAATACACCAGTTTTGGACATCCACCCATCGTTGAGTCAAATTAGCTCCCGTTGGAGCTTATCTAAACAAACCTGCCAAAAGAAGACCTTTATTTTACTATGGAGGTGAAGCTTCCAAATCTCTCGCCACCATTTCCCCAAATTACCTGTAGAAGAGGAAGATGCCTTATAATATGGAATTTGAGCAGCTCTATACCCACTTTTAACAATATACACACCTGATTTCTCATGATTCAAAATCAAACGATCGCCTCCCTGACCCTAGCCCAAGAGGAATTGAGAGAATACCCTTTGCTTCATCCGGAGAGAAAAGATGTTGGACTAAATCCATCTTCCACTATCCAAGCTCGACATCAATCAGGTGACTCACCTTTGTATCAATGAGAATTTGTGGGGTAGATAGGATTTGCAATGTCGGTTGATTGGGTACCCAATTGTCACCATAAATCTTCACCCTTTCACCATTACCAATGTGCCACCGAGATCATTCTTTTAATAAGTCACGACCCCATAAAAGGCTTCTCCAAATGAACGGTGGATTCCAACCAAGCTTAGTAGATATAAAACTACCGTCTTTGAAATAACATCCCTTCAGGACTTTGACAAGCATTAAAGTCGGGTAATTAAGGATTTGCCACCCTTGTTTGGCTAGCAATGGCTTGTTAAAAGTCTCCACGTTTATGAACCTCATTTCTTCCAAACATGTTGGTTTGTACATTGATTTCCACCCTACCCTATGGATCTTTCTGTCTTCCTCACCCACACCCCACCAGAAACAAGCAGCCAATTAATTCAAATTAACAACTTCCAATTTTGTTAAATCAAGTTTTGAATATTTCTGCTTAATCCGTCTGCTGCCATCTCCGTGCGTTGTTTCCAATCGTTGACTGTCGTCTCCAACCACCGTGTTTGTTCCCCGCCGTCGTCGTTTCAGACATCTAAACCTTCAATTTCCATCTTCAGGGCTTCCGTCAACGAGCTATTTATTCCTTCTTCCCTAGAGACGTCCAGACCTTCAATTTCCGTCGTCGAATAAAGTTTCCATCGACGTCTTTGCATGTTTCTGACGTCGTGCAGTGCATTCCTCGTCTTCTGTCCCCTTCTGTTTATACCATTGGTAATTATTAGTCTTCCGCTAAGATTGGTATATATGGGGATACATTTTATGTATGTGCATAGAAAATTGAAGTTCTAAACGTCTCATAGTTTTAGTCTTCCTGATTATATTCGTATATATGGGGATATATTGTATATGTGTATATATCTTATAGTTATATATACATAAGATATGATACTAATCTTTCGCTGGTCTCAAATAGTTCTGTAGAGAGGGTCCTCCAAAATTGAAGTTCTAAACGTCTCATGGTCTAGATGATTGTTATATTTGGATTTTGGGGATTTTTTGAGGTTTTCAAATTTGGGGGATTTGGGGATATTGTTTCAAATCTTTGTCAATTTCTTTCTTACATCCGCCTGTGTCAAATGGATGTTTCATTTTTTTTTTTGGTTTCTTTCTTTAACAGAAGAATAGTAACAAAAAACACGAATAGATTGACGCCAATATTGAAAAGAGAAGAAAACACAATTTAGTTCAACATTGAAAGGAACATGGGTATGAATGAATATAACATATAAAGGTTTTTTGTTCGTCTTGCTGCAAGATTGGTTCATTAACCTATTACTTCTTTTTCTTTCCTTCTATTTTGGTAGCCCTTTGCACTTGACCATGTTAGTGTAATCAAACAAATATATACCTACATAAACAATGGAAAATACTAAATGCTCATTTCAGGTCCAAGAATTATCCAATCAAAGATTGATTCATATTTAAACTTCAATCATAGTTGATAGACTATTCTTCAGAAAGAATGTGGGAATAAAAATAGGAACAAATCTGTTAACTTATCGGTAAGATATATAAGATATATATTAATATATATAATATATTCCCATATATTCAATATATGCTGCTTCAATTAACGAAATCATAAATCAGAAAACAATTGGAAACAACGCAGTCTACCCAACCTAAACTTTGGATAAAGTCATTCTAAAGTCATTCCAAGGAGGATGAATAAGTACATTCCAAAGTTAGAGGTTCCATTTTGCGATCCTTGACAATCGTATGCGTTAATGYAGTAATCATATCAGCAACTATAGATCCAGAAGATTGTATCGCTACCATATCTGCATAACCTGGACTCTCATACCAGATGATAACAATCTTTAGYTGAAAGAAAGAACAAATTTCTAGGAATGTGCAGAGCTGAGACCTGCTGTTGTTGAGTGGCAGCAAATGAGAAATATCGTTTGATTTGATTCGAAAAACGATATATAATATATATTTCTCTCAATATCAAAGTCGACRTTTGAAATATGAAAATCGAAAACTCTTTGAGATCACTCCACTCTCTCTATCTCAACTAGGGGTTTCCTTTAACAAATCTATGATGGTCTCAGAGGCAAATAAACGATCTTCAATTAAGTATACAATTTATACCACGTAGACAATATATTCCCATATATAGAAACAAATACTTCAAAATCATTCAAGTTTACAATTTAACCTACAACAAAGAATATCAATCACCAAATGAACCACTTTATAACAACAACTTGACACATTCATAAAGCATATGAAAAGAAGCACCATTGGCACACATTTAAGCAATTAGCAAAACAAAAAATCATTTTAGAAGTTCCAGAAACCCAAGAACTAAGCAATTCGAATGAAAACTCTAAACACGTAAATATTGGAACGGATTGAGATTGGTACCATATCTTATATACTAATAACTATAAAATATATACACATATAAGTTATATACACATATATTCAATATATACACATAAATACAAAACCGAACGAGAAGACTATTACCTTACTATTGGTGTAAATAGAAAGGGGACCGTAGACGAGGAACCCACTCCTCGATGCCGGAAAGGAGAAGCAGTTCAACAAGAATATGTCGCCTGAAATGTTGTTCACCGATGGTAAATGAAGGTCTGAAACGTACGAAGACAGAAAATGGGATATAACTGAAGCAGACGTACAATGACGGAAAATGAGACGGGGAACGTACATAGACGGCGACTGGAGAGGAAATTGAATTAGATGAAAGGAAACTTACCGATACAGTGGCCGACGAAACACGACGGAGTCAGATTGGAACAGTCACGACGACGTCAGACAACGACTGACGAACGGTTACAAAACCGAGAGATGGCAGCAGACGGAGGAAGCGAAAAAGTCTCCGATTTCGAATTTGGGAATATTTAAACGGAATTGGGGAGATATTTTGGGAGGTTTTCAAAATTTGGGAATTTAGGGTTTTTTTTTTTCAATGTTTTGGGATTTTAATTTATTATGGAAACTATCATTAAGCTAATCCAAATTATAACCTTCCAATTAATCAATTAATCAATTTTGCATCTTAAATTCAGGTTGATTCAATTTTGCATCTTAAATTTAGGTTGATTCATGACAAATGTATAAATTCTATACATTACATCCTTTTATGTAATTAAGATTTTTAAATAACTCATCAATGTACTAATCTCTATGGTTAATTATCTTGTTACTATCTTATAATCGGGATCCTAATATGGAATCCATAAAATTTCAAGCATCAGACGTCTAAGTTTAAAATATGCCCGACTTTCCTCTCATATATTATATTTACCGACTCCCATTTTGACATTAGTAGGTTTCATGTGTTACAAATTTGAAAGTCAAATTAATACAATAAACAAACTAGTCCTTCCCCCCAATTCTAAGAATCTCATTTCATGTTCAAGGCTAAAATTGAATATAAACCATAAACAAAAGTCAATTCATTCATACAAATATTTACAACATTCCAGCCACAACTCCAATACAATATATACAATTATAAGGAGGTAAACATAATACTCATTATTCTAAAACAAAAACAAAACAAAATGGATGTAATGACACAACCAAAGTTCAAAATTTCGACATGTCGACGTGTCGACGTGTCTGGCATTCGATGGGGAAGTATTGTTTTCATGTCGAAGATATATTGTGACGACATCTCGTCGAAATTACAAGCGAAGCGGCCATTTTGTAACTATCAAAAGAATGTAGCCCACCTTCTTTTATTAACACAATCATCATTATTACTATCAAAAGTGTACGAATACACACATCAAGTGAGCACAGTCGATTAAAAAAATCCACTACAGTAACATCATTCTTCCTTTTCTTTTTCTTTTGAGATCTGTAACTGTCCGAGCAAACTTGCACGCACCTTAACTAATCTCACGAGACAACCGACTGACCGTACTACATTTTGTTGCAATTTTGGTAGTTAGGTAACAGTAAAAAGTCAGATCAGAAAAATTTACAGTGAGTTACTTTGCGGCAAGAAGCTTCTTTGGAAGCTTGTCTAAAGGGGTAGACTTGAGAAAGGAAAACTTGGCTGCCCTCTCTTGCAAGGTCCCTCCACATTTTAACCCTCTTGCTTGCAGTTCACTCTTTAGCCTTTCCAATCCAAGAACCTGTTGATAATTAAGCCAAAATTTTTACTATTTTATTATGAGAACTATAATGCTACAAAGACGTTAAAACCGTTGGGGGTATGGGAAAATTATAATTGGACTTGTTGAGCATACATACCTCCATTTCTGCTGCAGAACTAAAATCATCAAAATTCAGTGTTGCTTCTTCTGAATTGCATCTACTTGCAGCTGTTTCTTTGGGAGCACTCAACTTGGACACTGGAGAGCCATTTGGTTCAAGAAGTGTGGATAAATCTTCAATAGTTTCACCATTATTTGGACCTGACGTGTCTTGACGGCTTTCTGAGTTTACAATCGCAACCTTGTCAGCATCCTGTTTTACAGCCTCGATTTCTTGATCGACAGAAACAACAACAGCCTTTGCAAAAGGTACATCTGCACCCTGAGTAGTATGGTTGTTCATTTCAACCACATCAATCCATTCAGAATGAGGAGCTTTTTCACTGGAGCATCCAACTAATGCCATGCTTTCCTGCATTGCCATGTCCTTTTCTTCCTCGAAACGGCTTTCGCACGAGGCTTCACCAGAAACATCGCCTTGTTTACCACAGCTAACAGAGTCTGAGCTCCCTTCGGTGTCCTTCAAATCAGATTGACAACCACTGTTCAAGATGACTGATTTCTCGCTTTCCTCTTCATTATCAGTGTTGTCCTCATCCGAATAATAAAACTTAATAATATGTTTTATTAAAATCTGGTTATTCTAATAAAAAATATTTTATTTGATGTAATTTTATTTTAATTATTTATTATGTATTAATATCAGATAAATTGTTATAATAAGAAATATTTACTATCAATAATACAGTAATAAATTAAATTAAAATTTATTATTATGGTAATTTAGAATAGATTAGCACAATAACGTATTTGTAATTGACTAAAAAGAAGAAAGGGGTATATTAGTAATTGTTTTGATTCCGATTCTGATTTCAGACAGTTCTAGTAAACGACATCAATAGAATAACATTATGATTCCGATTGATTTTAGTTACGATTACTTTTTAAGTAAACGTGACCTAAATGTATAAGAAATTTAACAAAATGTTTCATAATAGGGATTAAATCGTTACAAATTTAAAATTAGTGGACTAAATCGTTACAAGCTAAAATTCAAGGACTAAATCGTTACTTCACTAAAAATGTTTTTCAACCAAATTTAAATAATATGTCTCTAAATTTTTTATCCTATATATATTTAAATTTATTTCTCTCTATAATTTTTGTTTTTTCTCTAACATTTCTTTTTCTAATTAATCATTCAAAGTTACTCTTAATTATACAAACGTCACTTGAAAATGTTCGTATAACGGCAATATTCACCGGATCGGAGAATATTCGAATGTTGATGTGGCCATGAATTTAAGAAATACTCTGTTTATGCAGGAATTTGCACAATGGTTCTTCACGAATCGAGCTCGAATCCGGTCTCCGATTCCGACCTGAATACTAGAGTGGACCTGCACAAGAGGGTAAGCACTCCGACGCTCTAGTCAGTATAGATCGGACTCCTTATTTAGTTCGAGGTAAGATTCGATACCTGAGCGTGAAATGAAGCCCTCTATTTATAGGTGACGGATCCGACAGCACACACGACCGGCGGTTACATGTCTTTTCTCATGTCGGACCTGTCGGGTTCCGAGCAGGTCGGACCCCAGTCAGGTCGAACTTTGGTGCCCATACTTCATCTTTTAAGGGGCAAACCCGGTCACCTCGGCGGGGCCGAGGTGGACCTAAGCAATCCTTTTTATCTAATTTCTTCAAACACGAATAAATGTCCTCCACGTGTCTTGGGTATCTTTACCCCCAAACATTGGCCCCCTCTCTGTCAGGTTTGATCTCGACCTGTCAGAGAAGTTCATTCGAATCTATTTTGGACACGTGGCGACTTTCCATTTGTAGAGGGAATATGACCGTTGCGGTATACATTTCGACCTGCCAGGTTGTCGGAGAACTCAAGCGTTTCGCCGTTGCGTATCCCGAGAAGATCCCAGCTGCTCGTTGATTACACGTGTACGGCACGGAGGTTTTTCTGATCAGCTATAAATAGTCCCGAAACTTCAGGTCAAACCTTACGTTTCCTGAATTTCTGGAGTTCGATCTGAAACCAGTTCGAACCCTTTCTCTAGGTCAGTCATTTCTTCTTGCTCTTACTCTTCTTTCAAACATGGTAGTTTTCTTGTCTTCCCCTTCCAGTAGCGATAGCTTGGGTAGTTTAGGTCGGACGATAAGTAGTTCGCCCCCCAAACCAAGTGACTCTGGGGAGGTCTTAGCTCGTAGGTTAGAGTCCGAGCTTGAAGAAATAGAGAACTTTAGGTTCTCAGATGACGGAGAGGATAGTGATACCTCCACCTCGGGCCAGGGTTTGGAGTACCCTTCTAGGATGCCCGAGCATTATCTTGGACCCCTTCGTAGGGGGTTTAACATTACGAATGACATCCTCCTTAGGATTCCGGAGGAAGGGGAAAGAGCTGACAATCCCCTAGAGGGATGGGTCACTCTTTACCTCAAGATGTTTGAGTACGGCCTCAGGCTTCCCCTTCATCCTTTCGCCCAGGAGTTCTTAAACCGAACTGGACTGGCTCCTGCTCAAGTGGCCCCCAATGGGTGGGGTGTCATTTTTGCTTTAGCCATTCTTTTTTGGTTGCAAGCTCGGGATGAGGACGAGGCCGAGCTGCTAAGTGTTGATTAGCTCCTTGGGTGTTTTGAGGCCAAGAGGATAGCCAAAAAACATGGTCGGTACTATATGTGCGCAAGGAAGGGCGCGAGTGGTATAGTCAAGGGGCCGACCTCCATCAAAGGATGGGTAGGCAAGTGGTTCTTTGCCTTTGGAGAGTGGTTGGCAAAGGACGAATCAGGTCGTCCCTTCTTTGACGTGCCTGCTAGGTTTGGGAACCTAGATATGGAGTTTTTCTTATTTTCTTTTTCTTTTCATTTCTTGGTATTCACATCTAAATCGAACTTTTGTTTATTTTGTGCAGTATCGATCAAGCCGATTCCCGAGCTCGCTCAAGCCACCTTCGACACCCTCAAATTCTACAAGGACAACTTCCCAAGGGGCCGGAAGATCGGGACCTTGGTCACCGACAAGCTGCTGCTAGAATCAGGGCTATTGGACTACAATCCTTTAGTTCGTCCAATTGAAGCTTCGAGGCCAAACTCCAAGCTCGGTAAGTCGTGTTCGATCTCAATCTCAATTTTAGCTTCAAGTTTTTTACTTCTAACATTTCTTCTTATTCGTACTGCAGCCATGGTGTGTGGATTCACGAGCAGCGTGAAACG